TACAACTTATATGTACGGTTTACTTGATAATAAAATTTATATGAAAATTCCTGAAGGATTTAAAATGCCTAAAGCAAATTCAAAATCTCGAAAAATGTATTCAATCAGATTACAAAATTCTTTGTACTACTTAAAGCAATTTTGGTGCATGTGGTATAATCGCCTTAGTGAATATTTGCTGAAAGAAGATTACATAAATAATGTTATTTGTCCATGTATTTTTATAAAGAAAATAGCATCATAATTTGTTATACTTGTTGTTTATATTGATGACATAAATCTTGTTGGAACTCTAGAAGAGCTCCAAAAGGCAATTGAATATCCTAAGAAAGAATTTGAGATGAAATATCTTGGAAAGACAAAACTTTATCTTGGTCTGCAAATTGAACATTTAGCAGACGGGATCTTTATCCATCAATCTGCCTATGTATAATGGGTCTCAAAGCACTTTTACATGGATAAAGCGCATCCATTGAGCACACCAATGGTTTTTCGATCACTTGAAGTGAATAAGGATTTGTTCCGACCTCCATAAGAGGATGAAGAACTCCTTTATCACGACCCAATTCCATCATAGGCCGTGATGGCACCCAACACCATTGTTAGGCAAGCCAACACTGATCAAACTAATGGTTTCCCGTTTAAATAAGTTACTAAGTGGATACCATTTTCTCATTTGTTAAAAAGATTTAGAAATTTGCAAATGTGACATAATTAAACGGAAGCAAACGAGTACAAATCGTAATCATGTAAATAAATCCAAAATCATAAGTCTACTAGTGTGTGTATCAAGACCTGGTGTCACAAGTATGTAGGCAATCTAGTAGAATATACAAAAGAACACTAGCCTACTGTCTGAAAGGGAATAGAGAGAAAAATAAAACATGAGGGAGACTCCAGCTACTATAGAACGGCTCGGAAAGCAGCTCACCGTGAATTCTCGATATAGGGATCAAATCTGTGCACCAGACTGGTAACCAGATGCTCCTGCCTCAGATCCTGTACAATTAAGTACAAAAGTGTAGCGTGAGTACATAAATAATATGTACGCAATAAGTATCTAGTCTAACCTCGAAGAAGTAGTGACGAGGGGTCGACTCCGACACTTACTAAGGGCCAACAATATGATAATATGAAATTCTAATTAAGCATGATATATATAACAACAAAACTCAGAACAAGAAATAACTGAACAATTCATCACCATATTTAAGAATCCAAAGCACTTCCTTCATTTAAAACAAATAATCTTTTAAATCAGGAATTTATACCAATTAATAAAGGGACTTCCAATTCTAATATCATGCACAAAATTTCACCGAGGACGTTCGGCCTGATCCAACATAAATATAAATTGTGCACTGCCGTGGGTCGAACAGCACGAACCATAGATGCATCTATTAACCTGCCAAGGCGAACGACCCACTCCCATGAGAGTAGTAGAAATAATTACCCCGCTCGCGGATTATACTTGTGACGCGGTCAAATATAAATTATCAATAAATCTTAACTCTTTTCAAAATAAAGACAATTCAACTTGAGGCTTTTAAATCCTTAAAATCCTCGACTTAGTTTCATTTGATACAATTAACAAATATAATCAAATAACAGTGTCCGCGAAGTATGGTGTAAACCTAAAACTACCCGGGCATAAACATGAATAGTAGCTACGTACGGACTCTCGTTACTTCGTGCGTACGTAACCCCCACAAATAATAACACATATTAATTAAGCTCACCTATGGGGTAAATTCCCTCTTACAAGGTTAGAAAAGAGACTTATCTCGTCTCAAGCCTACTTCCCAATTCAAGAATGCGCTCAAACCTCCAAATTTGATGCCAGACGACTCGAAACTAGTAAAACATTACATAAATCAATCAATCTATGCTCAAAAGTTCATATCTCCACTATAAGAGTGATTACCCAACCCAAATTGCAAGATTCCTAAAATTCACCCCCGGTCGCACATACCCGGATTCTAGAAATGTTTGAAGAAAGTTGTTACCCATAACCTTAGGAACGTAAATATATGGTTTTCTCTAAGTTTCATAATCATTTTCGTGGTAAAATCTCATTGTTATTAAACCCTAGGTTTTTCATCTAAACTCATGATTTCCACCAATTTTCATGTTAAAATCTACCCATAATCTATGTATTAAACTCACATTAAGGTAGGAATTACTTACCCTCAATAGCTAGGTTGAAGTCTCCCTTTTTGAAGCTCTAAAATCTCCCAAATATGTGAAAAATGGGAGGAAAATGCCTAACTCCCGTATTAAATGAAGTTCACTGCCTTCAGCGATTTCCGCACCTGCGGTCATAGGGCCGCACCTGCGCCCTCGCTTCTGCGGACAAAAGTCTGCTTCTGTGGAACTCCCCTGGGCCGGCTGGCGTCGCTTCTGCGGATGGGTTTTCGCTTCTACGGAGGATTGGGCCGCACCTGCGGAACCTGGGCTGCCCTTCCTTGGCCTCTTCTGCGAGGCTTGGCTCGCACCTGCGGCTGGAAAAGCGCAGGTGCGATTATGAAAGACCTGATGCTTCAGCTGTTGTTCCAAATTCTCATCTTGGTCTGAGCCTCGTCCGATTGACACTCGGGGCCCCCGGGCCCCGCCCGAACATGCCAACAAGTTTGGAATCATAAAACGGACTCGCTCAAACTCTCGGAACGGACGAACAACATTAAAACTAAGAATCGCACCCCAAAATTATTTGAATCAAACATAAGAACTTCAAGTTCTTCAATTTACTTACAATGCGCCGAAACGTACTTAAACTACTCGGAATGACACCAAATTTTGCGTGCAAGTCTTAAATGACATTATGGAACTATTGCCGATCTCGGAATTTCATTTGGACCTCGATATCACCAAAATTCACTCCCAACTAAATTTGAAGAACTTCTAAAACCTTCAAGAACCAACTTTCACTATTAGGCGCGAAAATACTCCCAGGTCATCCAAAACCCGATCCGAACATAAGCCCCAAGTTTAAAATCATCATACGAACCTATTGGAATCGTCAAATTCCGATTCCAAGGTCGTATACTCAAAATATTGACCGAAGTCAAACTTGTCCTTTTTAGCCAACCTTAAGGAACCAAGTGTTTCGATATCAACCCGAACCCTTCCAAATCCTGAACTAATCATCCCCGCAAGTAATAAAACAGAAAAATCATGTACGGGAAGTCTTATTTAGGAGAACGAGGTTCTAGAAATCAAAACGACCAGTCGGGTCATTATATCCTTGGTCCCGAAATACCTTATCTTAGTGCAATCGATGCACTTATGTATCTTGCTAATGTTACAAGGCCTGGCATAGCATTTTCTGTTAATTTACTAGCAAGATATAACTCTTCTTCTATACAGAGATATTGGAACGAGATTAAGTATATATTGTAATGTTTAAAGGGAACACTTGATATGAGTTTATTTTATTCTAACAAAGGTAGTGCAAATCATGTTGGTTATGCAAATGTTGTTATTTATCTGATCCACATAAAGCTTGATCTCAAATTGGGTACGTGTTTAGATGTGGTGGTATAGTCATATCATGCCGCTTCACAAAGTAATTTATTGTTGCTACTTCTTCAAATCATGCTGAAATAATAGCTATTCATGAAGCAAGTAGGGAATGTGTATGGTTGAGATCAATGATTCATTTTATTCAAGGAAAATATGGTTTGGAATGTGATAAAAGATCCACAAGTTTATACGAAGACAATGTTGCATGCATAGTCCAATTAAATGGAGGATTTATAAAAGGAGATAGAACGAAGCATATTTTACCAAAATTATTCTACACACATGATCTTCAGAAAAATGGTGATACTGATGTGCAACAAATCCGTTCAAGTGACAATCCGACAGATTTATTCACTAAATCTTTGCCAACTTCAACTTTTGAGAAGATGGTATACAAGATTAGAATGCGGAGACTCAAATATTTGAAATAAAGGTTTCACGAGGGGAGTAAAATGCGGGTTATACTCTTTTTCCTTACTTAGATTTTTCCCACATGGTTTTCCTTATAAGATTTTTAATGAGACAACTAGTTATGCGTATTATTAAATATGTGTACTCTTTTTCCTTTATTAGGATTTTTTCCACGGGGTTTTTTCTAGTAAAGTTTTAATGAGGCACATTATCTTTTAATGAACATCCAAGAAGGAGTGTTATAAATATATTATGGATGTTCATTTAGTACTCCGTTGTAAATAAGCATCCCGAAGAAGCTTATCCATATGGGACTCCGTCATAAATATGTTTATCTATTTAATACTCTATTGGAAATAAGCCTCCCGAAAAAGCTTATCCTTTCGGTACTCCGTTATGAATAAATATTACCCCCGGTAGCAGATTATCTATATCTAATACAATAAGCTTATCCTTTTGGTACTCTATTATGGATAAATATTACTCCGGTAGAAGATTATATATATTTGGTACAATAGAAGCTTTGACAAGAGTGGGTTGCTCTAGTGGTTAGCACCCTCCACTTCCAACTAAGAGGTTGTGAATTCGAGTCACCCCAAGAGGAAGGTGGGGGAGTTCTTGGAGGGAGGGAGCCGAGGGTCTATCGGAAATAGCCTCTCTACCCCAGGGTAGGGGTAAGGCCTGCATACACACTACCCTCCATAGACTCACTAGTGGGATTATACTGGGTTGTTGTTGTTGTTGGTGGTGGTGGTGGTGGTACAATACCAGCTTACACAATAGCTTGTAGTAGCAGCTTGCAATAGCATCTTATACAATGCTTACACAACAATTTCCTTTCTTCTATAAATAGAGGAGATTTCAGTTCTTTATATACATCAGTTTGAAATTGAATAATATATCAGTTTCTCTCTATACTTGTCTTTACTTTACGGTCTTTATTTTATAACAAATATATGAATATTAATAAATAATTTATTTTTTTGGACAATAATCAATTTTATCTTACTCTTTTACTTCATTTTACAATAAAAATTTGTCTCTCACATAAACCCCCACCCCGCCACCTTCCTATGCAAACAAAATTCAGGATTCAAAAGAGAACAGAATAAGGGCCGTCACTCTATAGTGGAAATTTTCAAAGCCTTTTTTTGCTCTTGAAATCATGGCGTCACTCCATCTCAGCAAAAATGGAGATTTTACCAGTAATTTGAGAGATTTAATGTGGCAGAAACAAGAGAATAGAGTCACTGGAGTTGAAGAAACCCTAGATCGTATCAATCAGTTGCCTGACGCACTCCTCGTACAAATTCTCTCTCCTTTACCGACGAGAGATGCCGTCGCATCATCTGTTCTCTCTAGAAGGTGGCGTTATCTCTGGAATTCAATTGATAATTTCCATTTCGTTGTTAGAAATGACGACAAAGCTGAAAACTTCATATCCTTTGAGGACCACGTTTTAGCTCATTGCACTTGTCCCAAAATCAGAAAATTCAAACTCGATTTAAATGACATGTGTAGGCTAGTAAATGTCTCCTCTTTGGTTACTGCCAGCCTAACTTTTGACATTTGCTGTATTGCTGATGACTCTGAAGAAGACGATATTGAGGAAGAAAGTTGTCGTGATTATCATCAAGTTTTCAGAAACCTTGTTCTGGACTATCTTCAAAAGTTGAGTTATGCGATTGAGCTAACAATTGGAAGTTGGTTAGCAGAGGTTCGTTTTTGTGTCAAAAAACCATGTTCTCTAGTTCACTTTTTAGCAAAGAATTGCAGGATGTAAACCTGAGAAAGAGAAGAACCTTCAGAATCTCATACAATTATGAACTCTTTTGTACATGAGAATTTCGGTGAAAAAAGATTTTTTGGTTGAATAATTGAAAGGAAAAGTTTTTAATATACAAAATGACTGTCTTCACCTTTTGTGATCTTCCTATCTACTTTCTGAAATTGGATACTTTTTCTTTACTGGCAATAGGTTGCTTTGGAAACTAGCCTTTCTGTACATTGTTGTTCCTTAAAGTAGTTATATGGTTGGATTTGTCATAGCACTATCTTTTTGTTGTGGATTACTTTTCCTTTGCGGTTTGCTTCTTTCTCTATCCTTCACTAATTTCATTAGGATTGTTTCTCCAGGTTGTGTTCATGTTGCAACTCGAAGGAGTGGCGCTTCCAGAATTGAGATGCAAGTGTCTAACGCTAAAATTGCAGGTATCAAAGCATACTTTGTATGGAATAACTAGCCTTTTGGAAGCCTCGCCTCTTTTGGAGACACTCAACATTCACATGGAATATGAGGTCGTGCTTTCTCTCAGTTTATGCTCTTCTTTTGACATCCATTTTTTGAATTTCACACTCCCTCCCCCCCCCCCCCCTCCAAAGACTGAGTTTCTTAAGGAGAATGCTAATATAACATTAATTATCTTTAAGAATTTTTTGCCACCATAAAGCTATAAGTTAAATGATCAGAATAGTTGCTTTCTATCTGGTAAACAGGCTCAAGAAAGGAAAAGGATTGTTGACCAACTGAACCTCTTTTTGCTTTTATCTACTGCTTGAGTATTTCGGATAGGTCTCAACTATTGTAATCAGTTGCTGAGCACTGTTCAAGATTCGTGGGTTTTTAAAATTGCTCTATATCATACACTACTGTGAAATCATTTCATTTTGTCTTCTGTGGAATAATCCCACTAGGCCGTAGACCAGCATTGGATCCTGATTCTATTCTCTGTTCCAGTTTGTTTAAGAGCACTGCCAACTTGAGCTAAGCTATTTGGCCGAGGGAGATAATACCAATTTGCTGTGTTGGATTCCAAACATTGTGTTTTCCAGTCTCAAGAATATTAAGATTGTCGACTGCATACGGAGATGTGAGTGGGCCAAATGTTCGAAGGAGTGGTCTGAAGGGGGCTTTGATAAGCTTATTGAACTTTCAAAGTTTCTATTAAAGAATGCAGTGGTTTTAAAGACGTTTGTTATAGTAGCAAAGAGAAGAAAATGTCGAAAATGTTCAGAGAGCTGTGCCTCCCAATTTTTAACACGATTGGCTAAGAAATTGTTAGACAGCCCAAGATCATCTAAGAATTTTGTGATTACTTACCAAGAGTATGCTGTGGATGACTAGACTGCAAGCGGTTTTATTTCAGCATACTAAAAATGTCACCTTATATTGTAGCTTTGGATTTACTGCAGATGTAATTTTGAACTTGTGGCATACCAATTACCAAATATGAGGGATGCTTGGTTTCTCATGAAGCCTTGGTTTGTTTCACTCTAGACATTGCATATGTGCTTGGAATCTTCTTGCAACTTTTGTTTCACTTTAAGCTTCAAGATCAGCAAACCTACAAACCACATGTTTTCTGATAATTCGACTCATGATAAAAGCTGTATTTTGCTTCCTTTATCAATAGCACGAAGATTCTATAACAAGGGGGAAGGTACTCTTTTTTCCTTTTTTTAGTTGGAAATAAGAGGTCCCGAGTCAACTATCTCTTAAGCTTTCTGTTAGTTTCTTTGTTGTAGTTTTTTATGGATACTGGTGCCCGGAGTCAACAATCTCTGAAGCTTGTTAAAATTTCAGTTTTTTTGAAGGATGTTTCACCACGATAGCATATAGAAGAGTTATAATACATCGCTTAGTAAGTCTCCGAGTTTTTATAGTAGATATGACCCGAGGCTAAGAAACCAAAGGTGGTGAACATCAGCACAACTGATTAAACTTGCTTGCTATCATACCAGTACTGGAAAATTCTCCACACACACATTTCATGTCTTGAATTATTTGATATGGACATTTTTTGACGGAGAAATGCTCTAGGGCTAAGAGAAGCTTTCCTGTCGAGCCTTCGATTCGACTTTTGGCAATGCCATTTCGAAAGAAAGGGAACCTGTTCGGATTGGGAGAACCAATATATATCGATTTAGAAAAAGCTGATGCATAGGTGCAGCCCTTCTTTGTATCATGCGTGAATAAGGGATGCTTTGTGCACTGAGCTGCCCTTTTATTTTTTATGTAATCAGTCAGTTCTCAGACTCACTTCTCATTCAATTCTCTCTTTTGCCAACAAAGGATACCATCAGAACATGTATTCGTAAGAAGGTGACAATAAATATCTATGGACTTCAGTTGCAAGCTGCTGCTGCTTTTTCAGTTCTGAAAATCTTGCAACCGGAAAAAGTCATAATTATTTATCGACTAATATGTATTATCTCAGTGCACTTCTTCCAATGTAAAAAATTTCCAGCTCGATCAACAAAATCAGCTGATGACTTAGTTTTGCCTCAATCTATTAGCACTTGTTCATCGTTGCTAAAAATGGATATGGATACAGGATATCTAAGATCTTTATAATCTCAAGTGCAGGCTAATTAAAATAAGTCACATAAATGAAACAGATAGAAAGATTCAAATTTTATGTTTTTTAATAAGATTTGGTACAGGTTATTCAGATGAGTGAGTAAATTATTAGTACTAGTAATTTTTCTCTCATTAGTTAGTACATTTACCCCGTTTCAATTCTGATTTTTTCTCTTTGTCATACATTCATTCTCCCTTATCCCTTTGGAGTACTCTCAAAGGGAAAAGTCATAATACAATGTTTTCAAGTGCATACACTGCATATATTTGATAATGAAGAAAATCTATGACAGATTGTATATTTCAACTCCAGGCACCCAACATTATTATGGACTTCTAAATCTACAAAGAAAAAAAAAAGAAGGGAAATCAAAGAAAATATAGCTGTTAAAATCTACCAGCCTCAACAGGGGAAAGTTGATTAACATAACCTGATTATTATGGTATGTGGTTCAAGTGGTAATTATCAAGCTTATATAATTGGTTTAAAAGGGAATTGGAGATGAGGATTTGAATCTGGCCTTTCTAATTACATACATTGATTCTGAAGCAACTCCTCCTTAACTTGTTGTATAATATTTTCAATAAGGTTTCGCAAATCTTCATTCGCATCATGACAAATATTAACATGGTACAAGGCATCCGTAGCTGAGGAAATAACACTATCATACTGTCTTTCTTTGTATCGCTTAACTGCATTTTCAAGGCTGAAGATTGCATTCAAGAATTTGTCGATATCTACGATATAGCTGGTTTCTTGCGCTTTCATATTAGCAAGTGATATAGCTGACTCAAGATCGCTTTCTATAGGTGATGATCCTTCTTCAGCCATAGAAAATTAATGATTAATGTATAACAACAGTGCAAGAGAAAATATGGATACTGCAATGAAGCTGGTGCCAAACAGAGAAGCCATTCTCTTAAGCTTCTCTAAATATTACAGTAGGAGAAATCTAGTCATTTCCATTGTGTAGTTATATATAGTTGGTTGTGTTCTACAACAAAGTGAAACATTCTCAGTTTTCATTAATTAAGTATAACTTAAGGGCTAAGGCATAAGTCTGCCTATTAATGCATTATATATGCATTAATTTTTTACTCTTTTAACGCACACTACTAGAAATAAGGTGATTTCCGTCCAAGGCTTTCCGACCTAAATCGGTCGGAAATAAGAGTATTTGGTCGCAAAAGTCAACAAAAACTTTCTGACAACAAAAAAATAAAACTTCCGACCGATTTCGGTCGGAAAATTGATCGTACTTGTATATAATGTACAAAAATAATTATTTATTAAAAGTTTTTCAACTTTCCGACCGATTTTGGTCGGAAATTGGTCAAATATTTGGTCATGCGTGTATATAATGTACAAAAATAATTATTTATTAAAAATTTTTCAAATTTTCAACCGAAATCCGTCGGAAAGTTTGAAATAATTAATTCCCGCCCAAGACAAAAATTATATATATTTAATTAACTAACTGAAATAAGTTATAATTAAATATTTTCGACCGATTTCGATCAGNTGTGTGAGAGTGTGTTTTAAATTACTTTTATATGGACATTATGTCCTATATCTATGTATGTGTGTGTGTATAAAATATATATATATATATAGACATCTTAATATAGCTTATATACTATATACTTAGTATATATATTATACTATACTATATAT